CTATAAGAGTATTGTAAGTATAGGTAATAGCATGGTTTCGAGTGCAATTTGGATATAACATGCACGAGTGAGTTTTTCAAAGACCTCAAAATAGCACGAATCCGAAGGATGAGCGCTATTTGAGGTCTTTGAAAAACTCACGAGTGCAGGTTTATCCAAATTTCACGAGAAACCATGCTTTTACTTATCAATAATTTAACTTATCAATAAATAATTTTCCTGGCTGTGTTATATCACATTATACAACGCTAACAGCTTGAAAATTCCACTCAGCTAGGTAATTTTTGTTAGTCTTGTTTAAGGTAAATGCTTTTCCATTTAAAAATAAAGATAAAAGCCATATTTTCCATGCGAAGGCAACTTTTACTTTGTGTAGCGCGGTGCCAATGTTTGTTTTGTTTTGAAGCAATCTGTGACCGTTACTCAGTTCTTTAAACTAAATTGCTTTAAACTGATTGGTTGATTTAATCATCACAATGTTTTTCCACCAATCAGATCAGTTTGTTACAGATTTTTGCACTGTGATTACAGAAAATTGCACTGTGATTACAAAAAATTGCACTGTGATTACAGAAAATTGCACTGTGATTACAGAAAATTGCACTGTGATTACAGAAAATTGCACTGTGATTACAAAAAATTGCACTGTGATTACAGAAAATTGCACTGTGATTACAGAAAATTGCACTGCTGTTTGGGATTAACTGTACTGAAATCAACCAATCACAGCCGAGAAATATCTTTATGTATATTATTAACACTATACTGGTGCTGGTATAATTACAATATGACTACTTAAGGAGGCTCCCTGCGGTAGCATGCCGGATGTTCGCGGGACCAGTACGTGGACTATCCCCACGCAACTACACTACAGTATACCAAAACAAAACAATAAATTGACTGGGCTTTTTTGAAAACAAATGCTATTTCTGAAAGGTTTCTGATGGAAAAAAGCGTTGAATAATCCTTCGCTTTGAGTGCCAAATCAATTGAGTGCCAAAAATAAATTTGAGAAATAGAAATTTTTGCTAAAATTTGAGTGCCAAATCAATCAATCAAACTCGGCCTCGTTGTCTATGAGCAAATAGTCAACTCGGCTTCGCCTCGTTGACTATTCGCTCATAGACAACACGGCCTCGTTGTCTATAATTGTTAAATATTATAAAACAATTATACCATTCGCTCTCGTCGTATATGGCTGATAGCCGACTCTGTGCTACGCACCTCGTCGGCTATCAGCTCATATACGACTCGAGCTCATGGTATAATTGTTAATTAGTATAAACCTACCAGTGGACTATCATGTTTCGTGCGTTCTGATTGGCTACGCCACTAGTAGGCTATTAGTGATTGCCTACTAGTAGCAACAACCGTCGAAGGGCGCGAGAGTCAATTGTCGTTTTTAAGTATTGAAAGCTGCATTTAAAGGGAAAAGCTTATCAAAATGGCCTAATTTTGGTTCTGGATTACTCACCAACAAAGACTCTTGGAAGCTGCTGACACAAGCGGTAAAATTTTTACGTTTTCCCAACTCTGCTCGTAGTTTTGAACATGAAAGTTACAGGCGATTTTTAAAATATAATGCACATTGTTTGTTAATATTTCAAGCAGAATCGTTGAAATTCAAAATTAGTTTGTACTAGCTACTTACCCCCATTTTTCAACCTCTTTAGTGTGTGCGTATTTTAAGTACGAGTTCATGTACTTAGCTCTTATTTTAAAGAGGTTTTTTCCGTTTAATTTAAATATCGACATTTTGGCCGAGTTTGTTTTCACCTTTTTTTGAGCGGTTTTAATCGAGTTTTTCGATTAAATTTTAATCCTAACTTTTGTCTATATATATTAGATGGCGGAAATGGTTTGCCTCTTTATTTTTCCAGATATTTTAAAGATTTCAACGACATTCGGACTCTTTTGCGTGCATTTTATTCTGGTTTTTAACGTAAACTTTATTTTGTAATAATTCGGGAAGCCATTTTGTTTTCGAAATTTTGGACTTTTTAAGCCTTGTTTCCTTTTTTTAAATAAGTTTTAATTAACCAGACTTTGCTTCTATAACGGGTCTCTTACTATTATACTGTTTTACGACATGCTTTTTTAACTTTTTTTAAACTCATTAGTTGTATTTTTCAAGTCATTTTTGAGAGTTCGCAACACTGAGTAGTTGTCAACAAGGCGGAGGCGAAATGTCTCCAAAGGGATTAAGGAAACCATTTAAACGCTCATTTCGTTAAAACGTTATTGTTTTACATAAAAATCAAGTGAAAAATTCCGTTTTCGTTATGTGGGAGGTATCTGATAGGTTGCAGTTAACGGGGGCGTACCCCAAGGTAGCAGATTAGGCCCGGTTGTATTTATTGGCCCGGTTGTATTTATTGGATTAGGCTTGCCCTCAGCACTGGCGAAACGTGAGAGAACCTTTGATAATGAGGTGTCTGAAGGTGATGATGATGGCGTAACATGAATATTCATGGACGACACAACAATCTCTGAAATTATAGATGTAAAAAACCATATACCAGCCAATGTCATTGGTAATGCTGAAAGAAATATGTCAGAAGTTATGAAGTTTACGAAACAACAAAAAATGGAACTTAACCTTAAAAAATGCAAGGAAATGTTGATTGATTTAAGAAGAAACAAAACGGCTATACCATTAACTGAAATAGAGAACAAGATAATTGAAAGGGTTAATTCGTATAAGGTACTGGGGCTCTGGATCGACGACAATTTGAAGTGGAATACAAACACGGAGAAGATAATCAAAAAGCTGCGAAGCGCCTATTTCTTTTGAAAATAATAAAATCGTATGGTGCAAGTACGGATGATATGAAAAGATTTTACGTCGCAGTAATTAGACAGACGCTCAAATATGGGGCTCAGGTATGGAATGGCGGAATTACGAAGGACCAAAGTAATGAAATAGAACGAATCCAAAAACGAGCGCTGAAAATAATTTATAAGGAAGATGATTACGATAAAGTTTTACGTATAGCAAAAATGGAAAGTTTGGAGAAACGACGCGATCGAATGTGCATTGAATTAATCAAAGAAATGTCGAAGCCTAACCATAAATTACACAGTTTATTACCCAAGAAAATCTGTGAAGTCAGGAAGAGGACAACGAGGCCGAACAATCAAATGTACTATAATTTTATGGGTAAAACCGAACGGTTTAAGAACAGCCCAATCAGCTATGCTGTTAGCAAGTCCAATGAAACATTGTTTGGGTAGTTTATAGCTTTATATCTTTATAGATCTATTTTATACTCCTATTATACGTTTTACACTCTTAACATAATCTTATTTCTTGTAATGTACATAACAATTTAGCTTTTAATTGCTATTATATTTGTGCAAATTTTCTAATAATAAATAATAATAATACAAAATAAAGTTTGACCGCCCCCTCGTTTAAAAAAACTTCCTGAAGCCTTAAGGTTAATTTCCACTCCGGAAAATAAGCAGCGGATCGGGCCGGATCGGAGGTTTTTCCGATCCAACAAGCGATTTCCAGTAAAAGGACAAGTGGAATAACGGTGGAATAACCGAATCGGAAAAGGAAAAAATGGAGCTCGTTTCTGTCGCACAAATTACTATTTCACGCTCATTTCAAAATGGCAGCGGCTCTGAACAAGCGTGTACTTTATCTTATTTTGTTACGTCGTTGTCAGCAAAGGAAACGAAAACAAGAAAAATACAAAAAGAGCATTTCGTTAAGAAACATTTTCCAGGAAAGACAATGGAAAAGTGAATACCACCCACTTATTGATAGAAGAGTTAAAGCTATATGACCATGAATATTCTTTAAGAAATTTCATATTTTGCCAAGCAAATTTGAAGAGCTGTTGTACTCTCCAATTCTTGTAAATTCTCCCTCGAACTCTCCAAGAAAGCTCCTGAATTATCCTCCATATCATTTTCTACATTTTATACAAGTATTATTTAATTATTTTAATTTATGCGAGATAATACGGCATTTTGATTGGTCACCAGGTTTAATCCGCGGGACCGGACCAGGGAAAGTTATATAATTATTAGAAAATATTTCAACTTTTTATTATCCGGCCAGCAACGTCGCCAGATCAATCGGAACAAAAAAATCCAGTTTGAGAAAGATGACCATTTCAACCAGGGCAAGTTTGGGGTAGTTTGAGCATTTTCATTGCTTGCACAATTCCTTTACCCCGCCCTCAAATTAGCCATTCCGAAATTGATGAGAGGACTGGGGATGAGTGTAAAAAAGGGCCCAAATTAAGAAATGAACCAAATCACTAAAAAAAACACCTCAAATTCTCAAAATTAGTAAGTATACAAAGGTTGAAGACGTTTCCATGAATACTCTTCGAATAATAAGCTTTCGAAAATTGTGAAATTACTGAGGAAAAAAAAAACATGTGGGTTTCTCAACTCATCAACTTCGGAATGGCTAATTGCCTAGGTTTTAGTCACGTGAAAAGTGCTAAAATAGAAATAGAAGGCTCTTGGTTTAGACTGACGGTACTATAGAGCCAAACAGACAATTCAATAAAAGTGACATGCAAACAAAGCAATCATGTGCTGCTGATCTGTACCTAATTTTCAAAACAAATCATACCACTTTGGATGTGAATGTTTTATACTGCATGTGTCACTTAAAATACAAACGGAGTTATTTTAAATATCCCTAACAAGACATAGGATATATTAGACAAGTTAGAAAAGTATTTTCTTTTATATGCTTTGCATATTTCACAGGGCGATAGAGTCTATTTGGCTCCTGCAAGTGGTTAATTAAATTAGTTTTCAATAAGCACTTCCAGACTGTTTGTCGGAATCTCCAGCACCCTCACAACAAAACCTTGATCGATTGCTAGTTTTCTTAAGATTGTTTGTTATAATGTACGAAAGTGAAAAATAGCTTCTGGTCTATTTTTCAATTGAAAGTGATTGCATGGCTGATGCGTTAATTATTCAATCAATGAAAGGGGTGTTATTTTCCTCTCAATAGCACAGCGGCAGGCATTTACTCAGGCACCCCTGCGTGTTTCAAACAAATGCCTGCTTTGCTTGCTAAGTCTTGTTTTACTTACGTGTTCGTCTATCAACTGGTACATGCTCACAACTTTGCTTGTTAATCACACATTCCATCAAATTTCCATAATCAACATTGGGAGATGCTTGGGTTCCTCCTTGGGTTCCAAGTGGTGCACCTACAAAAATCCTATAACAATAAATAAATAACAGGGTCAAGTTTATTATGTCATAACATTGCGATATAACGGTTGTTTCGTATTGGATAAGAAACTCCGAATCCTGCCAAAGGCTATTGATCTCAGGTATGAAATATTACTGTTTATATCATATAATTATAACGTCCATCGACCCTATTTACTCATTTTATCTTGTGGCTGTTGGCCTGTTCGCCCTGTTGTGGCTGCTAAAATTTGAATTTGCGCGCGCGAGATTTATATTGAACAAGACGCTCTACGGAGCATTAACTCGCTGGGACTATACAAATACGCACATTACTGTACATGATACATACAGTACACAGCTATTTCAATTAAGATTTAAGGTTTTCCCCGAGCTAAGCGGAAAAGTCGAATACGAGCGCGAAAGTACGCTACATTCTTCAAGACTGTCAGCCGCCAGTTGGTCCGTACGCTAGGATTAAACTGCGCTTTAAAACGTTCAAAATAAAATATTTGGGGGCTTTTGGGCTCAAAATACTGTCAAAATGAAGAGAGAAGTGAGACGAATCCACTGCATGGAATACGGCAGAAAAAGAGAAAACCAATGATACCAAAGTTATCAAGGATCAAACGTACTGCATTTTTTTATAATTAGTTTAATAATTTTGAGCGATTTGTCAACAATACAATTTCGCTTGGCTTTCAAAGACAAAGGCCACAAATCGCTAGAATACTGTTGTTTAGTAATACATTTGACATCCGTAATTAATAAAATTTTAGACGTATTCGGTATTCCAAATCCTAATCTATCTGATCGTATTTTAATAGCTTCAAATATTCAGAACATTGTTCTTTCAGTCATTTAGTACAAGTATTATTTACATTCAATGCCAATGGTAGTATTTTATTTGGCTTTATATTTGTATGTGTATTGATTATTAACTCTTAATCTATTATCTGGAAAATTCTATATTTTTTCGAGTAATATATTATGCGGCTTCCTAATGCTTCGTATTATTGTTTATATATAGATTATTACATTTCTTCGTAGTACAATGTACACGCCTTGCGTCAATTTGACAATTGACAGTTTATTTATCGCAGTCGACGCTGATTGGTTCGCGTTTAGCAGATGCGAAAAGGGGATGATTGAATGCAGGTTAACCTTATGGAGATCCACTAACCATGCCGAAACCTATACTCGCCTGGACACAGAGTGCCTCAGCGAGTAATTATTACTCGCTGGGGCACCTGTGCCCAAGACGAGTATAGGTTTCGGCACGCATTTTTGGTGGATGTCCGATGTCAGATTTCCGATGTCAGATTTCCGATCGTCGTTGATAGCCACAAAATAGAATATTAATGAGCTGCCTAATTTCCCCCCAATTATCCATAAGGCTCCTGCCAATTTTACCCAAATTATCCATACATAGCCTTCCATTTTGAGGAAAATTCGGGAAAATTGAACAATTTTACAAGGAATTTCGCACGGAAACAGCAACCTTCGCATTTCGCAAATCGCAAGTTTATAAAAGTTTATACGTTTGACTGCGCTGCTTTATATTTTGAGAAGAAAGCGACACCGTTCGATTCAGCGTAAGAAATTGTACTTACGGATGTCAGGTGTATTACTAAACACCCGTATTCTAGCTATTTATGGCCTTTGAAAATGAAGCGAAATTGTATTGTTGATCACAAATCCTCGCAGTCTCGCACTACGTTTGTCCACAGGTTTGTCTTTGTATTTGTACTGCACAATGGCGCAATAAGGATAAAAATACCACCGTTCGATTCAGCGTAAGAAATTGTACTAATTACGAATGTCGGACACGGAGCACACGGAGCACGGAGCACACGGAGTACGGAGCAGCTCGCGGAGCAGTAGAAAAACGAAAATCCTTTATAATAAAATACACTGTTTACTATTACAAATTTTTGTTCTTATTAATATAGTTTTTTCGCGTTTTACACGTTGGGGAAGTAAGAAAATTGGGCTTTTAAAAAACACATATGCAAAACTGCCAAAAGCCATAGTTGTATTTAAAATAGGATTGTGAAACTCGTTATCTTACATCTATCAAGCTTATGAGTTATGTAGTTATGTTTATAATTTACTCTCTATATTATATTATATTATTATAATGCCAACGGCAACGCATAAAGAAACACTTCAGAGAAAACACTTAGTCTTAGACTGACAGCCGATATATTTCGTTACCCCTGCCAAAAAATAGCCAAGTATACTCATCTTTCAATGTAGAGCGGATCGACTGAACATTAAATCATGTGATGAGAAAAGTGAATTTTCGGTTTTTAATAATATCCTTCGGCTCAGTAGACAGTGACCAGTCGGGCAGTGAGCTGTACGGCCGGCTAAGTTTAAACCGTTATACAGTACATCATCACTGTACATCATTGACTGCTTTCATTCTTTCAATCCGTTTTGAATATTCGGAATCATTCACAATATTCATAAAACTGTATAAGATAGCTGTAGAACTATAACTGATACTGTAGAATGAAATAAATAAAGAAAAGTAAGTTTTATCGCGGTATTTGCCGATAAATCGGTAATCGCTACAGAAAAACAGACCAAATTACAGTAAATCACAACAAACCGTGGAAGTGGGACAATTTTTGTATTTTTATGTTTGGTTAACCCTGGGTACGAGGTTGGTCAGTAATGTCCGTAGCTGTATAGCCCCAGCGAGTTAACGCTCCGTAGAGCGTCTTGTTTCATTTCAAAGCCGTCAAATATTAGTTAAAACCAACAATTCAAATTTTGAATAAACACACTATAGTAAATACTGAGTTGCACTTGTTTGACAAAACTAGAGAAAGCATGTTTGAACCCACATAATATATTAAACAATATATAAAAAAGAATAATAATGGCTACATTGCTGATCTACAAGCCTATTAAGCCAAAACATGAAAATTATTTGCGAGTATTAAACTTGAGGAAATCACAATGTTATCTATCTGAATCATAAAATTGTTAACCCAATATATAGAATTGACGCAGAAGAAAGCGCATACATGAGGAATTGTGAAAAGAAGCTGATTTACCAATTGGACCCACTTATTTACTATGGCATTTCAAAGGGAGTTGTGAAGCCACCACGTGAACAGTCATCTGGTAATTAAATCATATTATTTTGTTTTTTGATTAATTAGAGTACCAACATTGGATTCATTGGCACCGACATTAGGTGTTAATAGAAAATAATGAATGAAAATTGCATTTTGATTTATACTGTATACTAATAAATTATATGAAAATTGCATTTTTTAGCTCTCAAAATCACAGTGCTCTTATTAAAAATGTAACTTAATTAATATTAATTTATGTGGGTAGCCCGTTTGCGGGCTTTTTTTTGTGGGCAGCCCGTTTGTTATGCTGAAAGTTGGATGTGAGAGATGTCCACTTTTCGGAAATTGACGGCAGATGTTCGGCTTATGTTCGGAAACTTCGTTCATGATGTGTTTTAATATAGTTTGTGAGCTATGGAAAAGTTTAGTATTTCCAAGACGTTTTTAATAAAGCAACGCCAACGGCGAGTATTCTACGTGTATTTATATCGACCTTTTGTCTCAGCAGGGTTACACATAACAAACAAAAATCATCTTGCATTATTAAAAACAGGATAACAGTGAGTATATAAATATGTGCATTTAAGGTGGCTCCCTACAGTTATTCTTGTTTACTGTCGTTCCAATTGAAGTGTTCCTCAAATATTGATTCAATACATTACCTCGGGCTGACAAATTCATTTGATCAAGTTCCTCGAGATATTCATACACTTCCTAGTATAATTGTAAACTTCCTGTTGAATAGTTTGAATGCACCAATCCCCTTTGTTGTTTGTGCAACTAACCAATCATAAATAGAAAGGAAGTGACCAGAAATGATCAAATACTTGGAATTGGCTCTTTCACAGGAAGTGTATGAATATCTCGAGGAACTTGATGAAATGAACTGGTCGAACTGAGGTAATGTATTGAATCAATATTTGAGGAACACTTCAATTGGAACGTCAGTAAGAGGCTGTCTCCGTAAAAACCTGCAGGTCAATATGGGGCTCAAAAATAGATTTCTCTCATACTCTCGTATTTTGAAGATCTATCCTTGGTAACAACTAAAATCGATTTCATTTTACTCAAATTTCCTTTAAATTGAAGGCAAAATATCGACATATTTTCAGCGCTATTTTTTAAATCAAATTCATACCTAAATTTCAAAATTTTTGCTCAGAAATATATAGACTTATCATTAAAAAAAAATGGAGTTACGAAAATGGAGTTAATGAATGTGTGACTGAATTCCAAAATATTATAACTCACGCAGCAAAAAAATCTTTGAAAATAAGAAAAAAGAAAACTAGAAGAAAAATAAACAACGTAGCAAACAAAAAATGGTTTGATAAGGAATGCCGACTTAAAAGACATGAATTACGTAAAATTGCAAATCAAAAACATAGAGACCCAACAAATTTGGCTATAAGAGAAGCCTACCATACTGCTCTCAAAACCTACAAAGAAACTTTAGAAAGAAAAAGAACTAAATTTCAAAACGACATGCTAATTGAACTAGAAAAGGCTGCTGAAGACAATCCTAATGCGTTCTGGAAAACTTTCCGAAACGCTTCCGATGAAATAAACAATGCCAATTCCGACAACACCCCAAAAGGGGATGATTGGTTCAATCATTTTTCCAAATTGCACTGCAAGCACAAACTAACTAAGGAACATGAAAAAATCGTTGAAAATCTTCAAAACCAAGAGAAACTTCGAGATCAACATAATACACTTGACACAGAGATAACTGAACAAGAAATAATAAAAACAGCAATGAAATTAAAATTGAAAAAAGCTGCATACTCAGACAAAATAAAAAATGAAATGATTAAGTCTAGTGCAGATATTCTAACACAAGGATTTGTTAAACTATTCAACATAATTTTAAATTCTGGAAAGTTTCCGGAATTATGGTGTGAAGGTCTTATTACCTCATCTATAAATCAGGTAATAAATTGGATCCAAATAACTACAGAGGAATCTGTGTGTCAAGTTCTCTAGGAAAATTTTTCTGTCTAACTCTAAATGATAGACTAATGAACTATACAGAGCAAGAAAAGATGATTCATCACTGGCAAATAGGCTTTATGCCTGGCAATCGAACAGCCGATCACATATTAACGTTAAAAACGATTCACGACAAATACGTAAAACAACACAGTAATGAAAACATATATGCTTGCTTCGTGGACTTCAAAAAAGCGTTTGATTCTATCTGGCATGATGGCCTTTTCTTAAAACTACTAGAAAACAAAATAGGAGGACGATTCTACGATCTGATAAAAGATCTGTACACTAACACTAGGTGTGCAGTGAAGATATCAGATCGTAGAACGTCCTTCTTCCCTTACGTTATTACTATTCAACTTATATATTAATGAACTACCAAAATTATTCGAAGAAACAATTTCTGATCCCTTCATACTACCAAATAGCACTACAATAAGCAGCCTTCTCTATGCTGATGATTTAGTAATATTGTCACGATCAAAAACCGGTCTCCAAAACTGCCTAGATACGCTTCACAACTGGAGCGAAAAATGGCTATTGGAAGTCAACCTCAAAAAAACGAAAGTCATGATTCTGCAAAAACAAATCTAAACCAAAAAACATTCAATTTAACATTGGAAAAAATCCAATCTCCATGACTAATGAATATACGTACCTAGGTTTAAAATTAACGCCCAACGCAAAATTTGATATTGCCAGCCAACAACTGAGCGAAAAAGCAATATATGCTCTGTACAAAATACACAAACAGATTGATTTGCACCAACTACCACCAAAACTAGCTTGCAAAATCTTCGACAGTGTAATCTCTCCGATATTACTATATAACTCCGAGGTATGGGGGGCATACACAATCGGAGACTTTACAAAATGGGATAAAACTTGGACAGAAAAAGCCCATCTAAAATTTTGCAAACTCTACCTAGGAGTAAATAGGAAAGCCAGCAACGTTGCAAGCCGAGGGGAACTTGGAAAATTCCCATTGCTATTGCCCATAATTAAAAGAACACTAAGTTATATTATTAATATATCTAAACTACCAGACTCATCGATAGCAAAACTAGCATTTCGTAGCTCGAAAGAACTATATTTGAAAGGCAAAGATTCTTTTTACTCGAACGTTGTAAATTTCCTGAAAAAACACTTTCCCAATCTAATTGAACCAGTAGATCTAGAAAAATTTATAACCGATACAAAAATAAATGTTATAATCGATATAATTCAGAACAACTACGTCTCAGAATGGAAACAACAAATTAACAACTCCTCAAAACTTTCATTCTACAGCAGATTTAAGAAAAATTATAAATTAGAAGACTACTTAAGTATAATAAAGGACCCATCCAAAAGACAAATTTACACAAAATTTCGAATCAGTAATCACAAATTACTGATCGAATATGGTCGGTACCAACAAATACCACGTGAAGAAAGATTTTGTAAACACTGTCACAGTGGTTCAGTTGAAGACGAATTTCACTTTGCCTTTGAATGTCATAAATACGTCAATCTAAGGAACAATACTAACAATATTTTAAAGAATATTTTTCAAATGCAATTAACAACAAAATCAAAAGAAGATTTGTTGACTCACGTGATGTGCAACAATGACCAAGTATTAACAATTCTTTTTTCAAATTTCATATCGAAATGTTTTTCGGTCAGAGACAAGTGCCCTTGATTCACTGTAATTTTACTATAACTAAATATATTAATATACTAATATTCATCTATGAATTACTATACTTTTTCATTTAATCTATTAAAAATATTGAAAAAAAAAGACTCGATGAACTACACGGTAGTCATAACTTTATTGTTATATACACTACTATTTTCTCTCTCTTTAATATATAAATATTTTGTTATCCTATATAGTTATAATTAGAGTAGTTACTTTAGCAATACCTTGTAAATTATGCGGAGGGTTTAAACTGCAGGTTGCAGGTGTGCAGGTGCAGGTTGCAGGTGTGCAGGTGTGCAGGTGCAGGTTGCAGGTGTGCAGGTTGCAGGTGTGATATTCTAGTACAAGATCAAAACTTAACATTCATCAACAAGTGTGAAGTTTGAACAAGGGAGCACGCCAGAAATATTTGTGTAAATTTATACTAACCTTTTTAATAATTACATGTAAATGTTTTCAATTTTCATCGGCCGCCATTTTGAATGTTGAAAGCGGTATTAGCTTATCGCAGGCGCAATAATTTATGTTCATCTTTGACATTAATTTATGTTACACGATGATACTCCGAAGGGCGACCGAGAAAGATCCGAAATTTAAAATAAGGCGGAGATCTTTCTCGGTCGCCCTTCGGAGTATCATCGTGTAACATAAATTAATGTCAAAGATGAACATAAATTATTGCGCCTGCGATAAGCTAATACCGCTTTCAACATTCAAAATGGCGGCCGATGAAAATTGAAAACATTTACATGTAATTAAAAGGTTAGTATAAATTTACACAAATATTTCTGGCGTGCTCCCTTGGTTTGAATTCTCTTTTATAATTGATTTTGTCACTCTTTGCGAGAAATGTCCGCCATATTTAATTCTTAGCTCAAAAACACCCGATATCCCATACTATCAATGGTTTTCCCCATACCGCCAAAAACATGTGATCATAGCATGTGATGGCACAACTTAGTACGAATTAAAGTCGGCTTTAAATATGGATCTGATTAATAGGTATGTACATCTATTTAATATGTGATACTTGATTGATTTTGGTATATTAAGTGGACACATGTTCGTATATTCAAATTACTATACGCTTGAACGCTTCGCTTTGTTAGACTTGTTAGGGGCGACGTCCATATTCAAGTTGCCACGCAAAACGTCAAATTGACGTTTTGCGTGGGTGGGTGGGTTAAAACTGTAGTGCTGTGACGTTTTTACCGTGGCAATATGAATATTTTCCAAAACTACAACGCTATAATTATATAATTTAATTATGTAGAATATATATTAAAAATAACCGTCAATATTTATTAAAATAGTATCAATACGCGATGGAAAAGTTAATATATTTACACTATTTTATCAATATTGCATATTAAAAAAGAACTTACGTGGTAGAATTTTTGTCTTTCTTGTTTCCTACATATTTATACACGTTTATAATATTAACCCAGAGGATATATTAAAAGGTATATATAAAACTTTCATACTTGGAGCGTTCAAACCCAATCTAAGTTTTGAAATATTCATTACGTCACACTTGACGTTTTCAAGGGTGGGTGGGTGGGTTGTCATAAAAACATCAATTTGACGTTTTGCGTGGCAACTTGAATATGGACGTCGCCCCTAATAGATATATACGAGAATTTACTCAATTTAGGTCACTTCAGTTGGCCACCCAGTTGAGACTTCGAAATTACAGATTTACTTGTAATATTTTTGTTGTGCTTTAGATATGAAAGTGACTCAGACGAGGTGGAAGTAGAAGGTAGACAATTGTGTATTTACATATTTGAAGGGTATAAAAAGTGGATTATATAATTATTTAAACTAGAAATACATGTCCCTGGACCCCTGGTTTCTTAACATACGAACTATATATTGCACTGACGTCACAAATCCTTAGAGTGTCCTCCAGATGCTTCCTATAAACAATATCTGTTCTGGTACAACCACCACCACATACAGCGCAAAAATTAACCATTTTAATACAAAATTATTATAATTTTTTACAAATTTGCTTTGTTTACAAAAGTTTTATTATGCATATATTATTATGACTATTATAGATTGCTAATTTGCCCTCCAAATGCATTGTCACCGGCGCTGTGACGTCATGTGCATGCAATGGGTATAGAGTGCATGTTCACAAAATCTATGTAATTACATACGTTGCTAAATATAATATGTTGTAAGAGATTGATTGTTTATTATGTCTCAGGAGGGGGGCGATGGTATTTCTTTAAAAGATATCAAAATATGCACCCCCTATAATTTTTAGAACTAAAAATGACTCCTTTGTTTAACTATACAGATTAAAGATATACCCCCTCCATCCGAAAAAAAAATGGAATGGGCATCTCTAGGCATAAAACATTCCAATTGTGAGGCCTGGTGACAAGGAAGTGCCAATAGAAAAATTGGGCACTAGTTTACCACCGTTAGACAATTTCTCCATGGATCTCGTTCATAGCCATATTTAAAAAATTACCCCCCCCCAAAAAAAAAGAAAACCACCGCCCTGAGACGTAATAAACGATCGGTCCCTACATATAATAAACTAGCTCGAAGTTAACCCTGTTGTACTACGTTGACAGTGCAAATACATTCTGATCAGCCTAGTCCCAGTCGTTATGAAGCAAGCGCGAAAAAAAACGTGAATGTAGTACGAGACTGGGACCTAGGCGGACCTCACAGCTAAAGGTGCTTCAGAACTCCTAGTAGATTTCAGTATTTTTGATATGGCGGAAAATTTGTATATAATATACAAATAACCTTGTAAATACGACAATGTTTGTTGATCATGTTCGATGTTTACATAACCAAATTGAAACTGTATTAAAAATGTACTCAATCAAAAAAATGATATACAAATTTACGATACTGAGTCTGAGCAATGGTAGAATGTTCAAAACAGTTTTGTCGTATAATCGTTGATGTTATTTATATACTCGCAAGTTGCGATCAACACTAGACAATACTGGTATACGCAACTACGCTTTCTACTTGACAGGTTTAAGTAGCTAAGGAGATTGGAAATATTTGCCTGACATGACTGTGTTGTCAAAACATTTTTAGTCGAAAACTCGGCATAATTTTCAAGCTTCTAGATAGCATTTAATGGCTTTATATTTTAGTAAACACGAGTCATATTTAGCCCGTTATTCCATTCTGACCGCATGGTAGCGAAACGTAGCCTATTTCATTGTTCCGAGAGCATTAGAGCGAAACTAATGACTTAATTATAAACGCAAAGGAAATTTCCACAACTTTTTCTATTTACAAATGTGGTATGCTTGGTACCCAAGCCAGGGACCACTTTTTTGAAATCAGGGATCATTTTACCGAAATCTGCTAACCCAGGCATAAAACTTTTAGGACTTATTAAAATATATCAAAGCAGCGTACAGAGAAAGAGAGAGAGGCTGGGACTAGGCTGCATCCTGATATCTTTACCAAATTTTGTTCGTGTCATCCAACCTCGTACCCAGTACTGTAAAAGTGGGGAGGGGGGGGGTCGCTTGTGGGCGGAGCCCCCCTTATTCAAACTCTGGGGGGCTGAGCCCCCGTTTTACTTTAGAAAATCGAAAATTTATTATGTCACAGAGGAGCTTCAGTCATCTGGCGATACTAAATACCGAATGTACTCATGTCCCAGAACGACAAGAGAAAACGTCATTTTGGTTCATTTACGGAGCAGAATCTCTGATACAATCTCAACAAAAATATTTAGTTTTGGTTTTAAAAAACTCCAGCAGAATTAGTCAGACTTTTGAATTATATTTAGTTTCGACTATCACAGACTTTTTAAAATACGTTAGTTATTCCTTGCACATAATTATGTAGATTAGTTCAGTCTTCATTAGTACGCTGGACAGGTGTTTGTTTTCATTTATTATTTTCTTGTCATGTATTAGTGGGCTTGCACTTTCCAGAAAAAACATTTCTAAGAAAGAAAAGGACGATAAGTATGGAAAATGCAATTTAAATTACGCTTTAATAAAGTATTAAATTTCGAAGAAAAAATCTATTCAAGGAAAATGTACTAAGCGAATAAATTTTACCCTTATATAATGGCTTGCTTAAGACTCGTTCAAGAAATTTTTAAGAGAAACTAGCAGGTTTTATTGCATTTCCGGGGCTCTGAGAAGTCTCAGATTTAAAAATTTCCCGGACCTCCCAGTCCCAGAAGGCTCATGCCTTCGGCGTTCGCTAGCCCCCCCCCCCTCCCCATAAAAAATGCCGCCCGGTAAGGGCTATAGGTTTACCCCTGGTCACCCCTCGTCATCGTATGGCTCACCCCTGGTTGTCATATGACGTCACGTTTTTTTACGATTTCACGGCTTCACGCTCCTCAAGAGAGCCCCCCCTCTGGTAAATTCAGTTCTACAGCACTGCTCGTACCCAGACTCTTTCCACTACGTTCCATCAAGTACTAAAGTCTAGCATTTGTTCCAGGTCTAGCTTGTGCGATATTCAGTATTTTTTGAAAAATTTGAATACTTTTCTTGGTGTTTATAGGCAAATTAAAACCATTTGCATATTTTCTAGCAAATTAAAACCTCGCGTAAATGTCAAAAACATAATACCTTATTACCCTAACCAAATTGATTAAGAAAAATAGAAGAAAAATATATTAAAAAGCGGAAAAATTTTGCAATGTCAGTTTGGTAGATGGAAACAAGTGAAAACCAAAATAAATATTCCAGTCACGCACATGCGCATAAGGTACAGGCCTGTTAGAACAATAGAAATATTTATAGTCAGAATGACTTTTCACTTTGCTGGTGTTCCCATTCCTGGGTGTTGTACCCAATATTAGTAACTCTCGCAGGCTCGGGAATATATTTTACATTTTTATTTTTTTAGAACTTAACAGTACTAATGTCAGAAATGAAAATGCTGTTTCAGTCATTAGGTTTGCTCTATTTAATATTGCAATTTATATTGTGATCATTCCAAGTCTGCTCATCCAATGACCAATATTATATGGTGAAATGTTGCTTCTTCTCAGGGTAGGGCACGCCATATCAATGTAGGGATTTTGTTAAATTATTCTGACCTCAATATCAGGTGTGATTTATTGGATAATCGAAAATTACACAGAAATGCAAACAGAAGTAATGTTTATTTTAATTTTAATTTTTAGTGACAATGAAAATTATGATACTTTTGGTAAGTAAAACTTTTTTCAGTCACTCTGTAGACCACGTTCTGACATCTGTATACATTATAACTGAACAGTAACAAGATAAAACAAGGTGGCAAAAACAGTCAGTAGATTCATGCAGTTGGTTTTTTATATAGTGACGAATTTCGTTGCTTTGCAACAACCATGCATCTTTTCAGTAATAGATAACGGCTATTAGCCAATAGAAATGCGTAAAGTAGTTTAATAATGATTAAATAATTATTATTAACCAATGATATAATTATTTTGAATAAGTTTTCAGTATTAATTCAAATATGATATCACACAAGTTTCACAATTCTACATCTTTATATCTAGAAGAATTCTCAGATGAAAGTATCGCTATTGTTAGCGATTCTGAAGAGGAACTGAGGTAGAATTTATTTACGATTATTCAGTTACGTATATGGCAGATTAGAATAATCCAGCGTTCATGTTAATAACGCATTTAAATTTTATGATTTTGGATCAGAAGAGTTGCCAAATCATTGCGTGCTTTTAAATGTTTGTTTCTTTTTCCATTTAGACCATTGGAATATTACAATGACAACCCAAATATTCCGTACTATTCGAAGGGGAAAAAAGACTTCAAAATGTCGGAAGTTCTTCATGCCATCCAACTTAGCGTTGATGCTGACAGAATATGCGTCGAACGTCCGTTAGGTGTAACAGAAGACGCGTCCTTTGTGATTGATACGAGTAAGCTTGAAGCACGAAAAGATTATCTTGAGGACAATACTGGCAATTTTCGGAATTTGGGACACTGTGGTACAGTATTTACCGTAAAGAATGACAAGATTGTTAGTATGTCCGCTATGGAACGCTCATTAAAAGATCGACCGCCACTCAAACGTGGTGAATTTTTGGTGAAAGTTGTCTACTGGGGACATAAAAAGCACAAAGACTTCAAGAAACGTACTTACGAAGTTTCCAGTTTCCGAGGAGAAGGCGTGTTTGTCCTCGTACGTTATTTGTTTGAAGATGAAGCTCATGAAGTAAGTCCGTGTAAGAAGATGCGAACTAGCGAGGGAGCAAAACAAAAAATACGTGATCGTATCAAATCTCATAAAACACCAAGCGCCATTTTCGATGATTTGTTTGAGGAAGCAGGAGGTATGGAATTTGCCTGTACCGCTGACCTACCTCGGAGCATTGGCCAAATAAAATATGAGCGTCATAAGCAGCGCAAGAAATCTGATATCGACGAAATGGCTACCTTGCTGCAACTGTCAAAACAAAACTCGTATATTCGTAATCTTCAGTGGACTCCTCATCCGCGAATGGTCGTTTTAACTGAGAACGTTGTGCAAGATGTTGTTGACTTTTGCACGAATCCTGAATCGTTTTCACCATTTACTATCGACACAACCTTTAATGTCGGTCCATTTTACGTTACTACAACAACGTACAAGCATTTGAAGTTGGTGGATGAAGTTGGGTTCCAAGAAAAGTCCGTCGCTTCCTGGTCCAGCATTGTTTCACGCAAAACAAGATACTGGGCAGTTTCTCTACTTTGCCCAAACGTTGCAAGAGGTAAACCAGGACATTGGTGATATCCTAGCAATTGGCTCTGATCGGTTTAAAGGATTTGCAAATGGATTTGCAAAAGTATGCCCTGTCGTTCAGGTGATTGTGTGTAAGAAGCATGCGGAAGATGATGTCACCAGGAAATTAACATCATTGGGTATCACAGGAGAGGCACGCAATAAGTTCATGAAGGATATCTTTGGCAGTGAAACCACAAAGGAAAAGGGATTGATTGATTGCCTGTCCGCCGCAGAATTCGACGCTAAAGTTCTTCACCTGAAACCGGAATGGAAAATGTGTGAAATGGAGGCACGAAATACATCTGAACCGCAGTTCTCGCACTACTTTGATATTTACCTGTCTCATGAAATGAAAGAGAGGATGATTCTTCCGGTTAGACGAAGAGTAGGTCTTGGTGACGACTTCTTTTATGACAATGCAACAGAGAGCATTAACCATCGTTTCAAGGTAGCAATACGAAATGAAAAAGCAACCTGTAACCCAACTGGCGCGAGGGATCTTGATTGTACAATGGCTGAAGCGGGGGAAATCTACTACAACATGCTCCAGCAGACTCGTCGAAATATTCACCGAGCTATTATTGGCTTAGGGCCATATCGCCTGAGCGATCAATATGCGTTATGTTACACCGCTGCACCCATTTGGAACACCTTGAGTGATAACGAGAAGACCTCCAGAATCAGGATGGTGGATACCAAGTACAAACCGGCCACAAAAATTGCAACTGTTGAAGCAGAGACTGTTTCAAGTGCTGTGGGCAAATCTATTCCTGATATCATTATTGAAGACGACCAGTCAAGTGAGAAATCTGAGGGCAAATCTGTTCTTGATATCACCATTGAAGACGACCAATCAAGTGAGAATGAAGTTGTTTTATTAGATGAGCAAATCAACTATCGCTCGGAAGCTTCTCAAGTCACCAGACCGACAACATCTGGATGCGACACGATTACATCCGACAAAAGAAAAACTTTAGCTGAAGGAGGGAAATTGTCTTTGGGTGACTTTGAGAAGACAAATCTGCCCATCATATTCAGAGGATCGTGGAGCAATGCTGAAAAGATTGTAAATAAGCAGGGTGTTGGAAAAGCACCTGGTATGAAGAATGCCAGAGTTGTCATATCAACAAGTACTTCTGATTTCCACCGTGTGACAGTAACTAACAAAAACTGTCCTGTCAAGTGCGATTGTAAACGTTTCTCAGATCTCGGCCTGTGTGCTCACATCATAGCAGTGGCGTACAATGAAGGAAAATTGAATGAAGTTGTCAGAAATTACAAGCCCAATATATCTGCAATAGTACAGCCTTCTGGAAAAGCTGGAAAAAAACCAAATCAGTCGGTCAGAAAGCGCAAGTCGTCAACAACTAAAGGAAAGCGAAGTGTTGCAGAATTTAATGATCCACTCGCTCATACTGACCTCGTTAACTTTCCGGACCCAGATAACTGGACAGTAGTCTTTGTGAAAAATACGAAGATGCGGAAATGCTATGGATGTGGGGGAAGTGTCAGGCAAGACGTCAGCGTTGTACCTCCTTCTCCCTGGAATATTGTCCTTGCAAGACGCGAGTACCGAGCGTATACTCCACGCGGCAAACGTTCAATCCAGATTTCGGCAAAGAAGGAGATGGTTTATTATCACCCAAGGATGAAATGCCTCCGTGAAAAGAACACAGATGTTACTGGAAACCGCGTACAAGTACCCAGTGATATTGCCCTAGACCTGGACGATTTACAACGAGCCCAGTTGAGAAAAGAGTTTGGAATTGACTTGTAGAGTTGTCAACTGTGGAAACTATACTATTAGTACAGTAGCTAACGGTGCGTTTATATTTCATTGTTCTTTGTTAAAATTGTTGACATTGATCTGTGTTGAAGATGTTGAACTATAATAGAACATCGTCGGAAATATTTTGAAGTTCTTTCTCGCAGCAGTTGTATTGTACTGTAATAATAAGTTTACGCAATACATGTATTCAATAAAATTTGCCTTCCAGTACACAGGTAAAATTATACCAAAGTTGTCAAAGATCAAACGTATTGCATTTTTAATTAATTTAATAATTTTGAGCGATTTTTCAACAATACAATCTCTTTCGAAGGCCATAAATCGCTAAAATACTGTTGTTTAGTGGTACATTCGGCATGCCTAAGTACAATTTCTTGCACTGAATCGAACGGTGATATATTTTTTTATTGGGCGCATAAAATCAGAAATAAGGCGCAGCAAAAAGTCAATCGTGAGAGTCCGAGATTAATTGGAAAGAAAACTTTCCTCGAAAAAAGGAATTCAGAAAACAATTTTGAAACCAATTTTCCATCCATAAATACAACCCTTTACGCTGATTCGAACGGTGGTATTTTTGCCCTTGTTTGACGCATAAAACCCGAGACAAAGCCCAGCAAACAGTCGGTCCTGAGAGTCCAAGATTAATTAATTTTCCCAAAAAATGAATAAATTCAGAGCACGTGCAAGGAATGTTTACTAGGATATTAAGGAAACGTATTGATCCGAACAAACAAACTAACTAACAAACTCACAGGCAGAATATAATGCGGTGCCACCAAACTTGGGCACCGCAATATAGTTATGTTTTTGGCGGTATGGGGAAAACCATTGATAGTATGGGATATAGGTGTTTTTGAGCTAAGAATTAAATATGGCGGACATTTCTCGCAAAGAGTGACAAAATCAATTATAAAAGAGAATTCAAACTTCACACTTGTTGATGAATGTTAAGTTTTGATCTTGTACTAGAATATCACACCTGCAACCTGCACACCTGCAACCTGCACCTGCACACCTGCAACCTGCACACCTGCAACCTGCACCTGCACACCTGCAACCTGCAGTTTAAACCCTCCGTAAATTATGGTCATGCTAATAAAGTATTTTATAATAATAACCAAATAAAAATTATTTATATAGAACAGAATGTTAGGAATACAGAAAGTATCAATTATGCCATAATGTAATGAATGATGATATGCCATAATAATTATGTAATTTGATTATTATAACTGTAATGTTCACAATAAGACATGCAAGCAATGAACTGTATAAATACATTTTTATACTAGCCATTTTTATGTTAGCCATCATAAAAGGCTAATTTTGAGCCTACATGGTTTTATTATTCATCAGTTTTTGTATTGCTTGGTAGGCGAAAGCTTGGATGATTTGATTACTCATTGTAAAATTCTATTGGAATCCATGGGTAGCACAGAATATGTGAAATCAAATTGGACAAAAAGAATGACTGATATGCAGGAAGATTGGACAAAAGGACGGAGCTCTATTTTTAACTGTCTCTGATGAAAACCACCACTCAGACAAATGTTCATTCTGTTTTGGAAGTGATGCCAATGTTAGATGTCATCAATGTGGTTTGTCATGTTACATGTGCAATATCTGTGATGAAAGATTACATCCATCAAACCCTTTCCACGACCAAGAGATTTTTTTGAGTCTGTTGCACCCATGGAAAAATTTGATGGGTATAGAAAGACTGGGTCAGGTACAGTATGTTCTTCACAATTGACTTGTCTCAAACTTTTGAGTTATTTTAATCCACTGCATTGCATTATCTTACTCTTTCTAATGCCAGACGATTTTACTTGTCAATTTACTCGTCAAGCAGAGACCAATTATCCCTGAGCTGACGGCGCGAAGCGCCATGCGAGGGTACTAATCCCCCCCAGCTATTTACACCATACATGTCCAATACTCACGCAAGCATACCGACGGAAAATATTATTTACTGTCGGTAATATATATTTTCGTTTTGTGGACTCCAGTGTTATATTGTAAGAAACAATATAGATATGTAATGTGAACGTTAATACTTATAGGAAACTATTATGAAATATATACATCGCCTTCATCTATGCCTCGTGTCTCTTCCCCGAATCCCGCTACCCAGTTCACTTCCGTCTATACGCACTTCCGCTACTAGAACACAACATCTCCCTTTTACTTTAGAATATGAAATATACTTGTGCAAACAATCATGCACCTAAATTATGACCAAAATTCAATAGTTCTGGTTTAAATGTCAACCTAAACAATAGTACCAATATTTTAACAGTTAAGTTTCTTTGCGCAAGAACCGAGGTCTTCTTCGTACTCTTGCCGGATACCTTCGTGGAATATCTTGTGGCTGTTCGTTATTATCTTCATCGTCCGTTACATCGCTAGCGCTGTCATCACATTCCTGTTCATCAGCACTTTCGTCTTTCGAGTAAAATCTTTTGAAATGCGATACGTTTCTGGTGGTAGTGAGATCGTGTCTCGCTGCGGTTATCTTTTTGCCATTAACTTTCGTTACAGTCAAAGGTGTTGGATCAAAAACAGTACTAAATTTGTTTTTTCGTTCTTGTTTCACCAAAACTTTCATTCCTACTTCGATGTTTGCTTTCCGAGCTCGTCGTCTTTTATCTGTATACTGCTGCGCTTTCGACTGCTTCTCTGACGTATTTATCTTAGCCTGTTCGTGTAAAATCTTGTAATCAATATCCCCCTCTTTTACAAAAGTTGGCATGTTCGTACGAACTTCGCGATTGAACAACAGTTGACTTGGTGCTACCCCGGTGGTACAGTGTGGTGTAGTTCTGTAAGCTAACAGAAAACCATGTAGCTCTTCTTTCCAATCCTTTCCTTCCATTTTCGCTGCTTTTACAGCCTTACCGAGGGGCTTCATGAACGACTCGGCTTCCCCGTTGGCCTGTGGCCAATAAGGTGTTACAAGCCAGTGATTTATTCCGCGATTTCGCATGAATTTCTTCACTGCATCACTAGCAAACGGTGGACCATTGTCCGAGTAGATTTCAGTGGGAATGCCATGAACTGCAAAAATTCTGTCCAGGCGATTCGTGACGGCGCTGGCAGTAGTGGATTTCATTATTTCCACTTCTGGGAACTTTGAATATGAATCAATGACAACAAAAAGTGTTTCCCCCGTGGGAAATGGACCGCAAAAATCCATGTGAAGTCTATCCCATGGTTTGGAGGGCAATTTGTGTTGTTGAAGAGGCGGTGGCGGATCACCATGCCCGAGAGACTGGCATGTGTGACAATGCTTAATAAACTCTTCCGCATCTTTGTCAATTCGCGGCCACCACACTTTCGTCCTCAGGGCTTGTTTTGTTTTGACGATGCCCTGATGACCTTTGTGGGCATGTGTCATGGTTTCATTTCTAAGCCTTGTTGGAATGATCAACTTATTTGCACGGAGCAAGAGACTGTTTAGTGTGACAGCGAGTTCTTCTCTCACTGCATAAAAGGGATGATGCTTTGCCCAGACACCCGATTGGATACTTTCAATCGCTAATTGCATTTCTGGATCAACTGCAGTTGCTGCAATAATGGACTCGATACTCATGGCCTTGGGGATGGTGTTCTTCTCTATAAAATTGATATATTGTTCCGCAATGTCACAATGTTCAGTGTATACTACAGGTAGTGGTTGTCTAGAAAGTAGATCAGCAGGGTTGCCTTCGCCTTTGCGATATATTATATTAAATTTGTATTGTTGTAAGCGAAGAGCCCACCGTTGAATCCGAGCAGGTGGTTTGGATTTGGGTGAATAAATTACCTCAAGGGCTTTGTGATCGGTGCAAATTGTGAATTCTGCACCAATTAGGTACATGTGAAACCGTTCGCAACCCCAGACAACGGCTAAGGCCTCTCGTTCGGTTTGTGAATACCGTTGTTCAGTTAGAGTGAGTGACCTACTGGCATATGCTACATTATGCAAATTACCTGCTCTGTCAATGTTAGACAATATTGCTCCAAGACCTGTGGGGCTTGCATCGACTGTTAGACATGTTTTCTGATTTGGGTCATAAAAATGCATGATACAGTCTTTCTGTATAGCTTCTTTAATAGCAGCAAATGCTGCTGTGTGTCTAGGTGTCCATGCATAGGGTGTTTTGGCTACAGTAAGTTCTCGCAAGGGGGATGTAAGATTTGAAAAGTTCTTGATGAATCTGGAACAATAGTTTGCTAGCCCTAGGAAACTACGGAGTTCTTTTGTGTCCTTTGGTTCCTTAGCATGCTTAATTGCATCAACTTTCCTTGGATCAACTTTTATGCCTGAATCAGTAAGGAGAAAGCCATAGAACCAAAGTTCTCTCTGATCAAATAGACATTTGTCATTATTTACGGTTAAGCCGGACTCGTCTAAGCGAGCAAATAACTGCTCTAACCGTAAATTATGTTCCTGTTGTGTTGACCCTCAAACAATTATATCATCCGCGATGTTACGAACCCGTCTATCCCTCGAATGGCATTCTCGATAGCATGCTGAAATACCTCGCTGGCCGAGTTGATACCGAAAGGTAATCGTTTACAGCGAAACAATCCACGATG